AGGGATGCAGCGGGTGGAGGAGGGTCTTACTGTGGTGGGCGTGCCTATTGGGGAGGAGGATCGGGAGGTGGTCCGGCTACGGGAGCAGCTTCGACAGTTGTAGGCGCCACTGCCATGGCTCCCCTTGCTCGACCACCCCCAGATGGTTTCACACCTCCTCGCCATTGCAGTTTCAGCACGGCCGATGTACCTCGCCCGGACTATGCCGCCGCGTCCGGAGGTGGTTGAGGCTTTTAGGGATTGGGACAGCTGTTTGGAGGATTGCTTTTGAGCAGCTTTTCCCACCTGGCACTTGGGAGCAGGACCCCGACCGGTCTAGGCGCGCACGCATGCAGCTGCATCTCCCTGTGCGACTCGGAGGGTTCGGGATCCGGGCGGCGGCCTCTTTGAGCCCACTGTCCTATGTTTGTGGGTGGGCGTAGGCCGCGCGTGACATTGCACAGTTAGGGGTGGCGGGCGAGGAGGCGATGTTTGCAGAGTACCTCACCACTTCGACAGGGGCAGAGTTTCTCGACCCGTGGTTTGTCAAGGCTCTTGAGCAGCTGCCAGTGACTATCCGCCAGGAGATACCGGGCTTACCTCTGTATGTAGCGGCCCCTCCCGTTCGGCTTTTCCAGGCGCGGCAGCGGCAGTTAGCTGTAGAGGAGCTCCAGGCACTGCGCCGCTTGGCTCGTGACGATGCTACCTTGGCCCGTTTCACATCCCTTCAGGGCCCGGGGGCGGGTGCATGGGTTTCGGCGGTTCCGGCTCACTCAGATCTCACATTCAGTGCGGCTGAGTGGGGCATTGCTGCTGCTATACGGCTCGGGCTCCCAATTCAGCAGCTGCAGGTGGCGGGGAGGTATGTTTGTGGCACAGCGTATGTTGACCCGGCAGACCCGCATCATGCCCTGAGATGCAAGCACCAGCATGGTCCATCTCGGGTGCATGATGAGGTGAAGTTTGCGGTGGCGAAGATCTCTAAGACGTCGGGGGGGGGTGGTGACAATGGAGGATAGTGTGGTGCTTGCAGGGGAAGCGGGTTGATGTGGCGGTGCGACGACCAATGGCTTGAGAGGCTCACGCCCTAGAGATCAGCGTCGCGGATCTGCTATCGCTGTCTCCATCTCTGCTAGGACAGTGCGGGCGATCCATAGGTGTGGCGGCAAGAGAGTGGGAGCTTCGCAAAACGAGTGATTACGCGCCTCTGCTTGCACGCAACCGGGGCGTGCAGTTCACCCCTCTGATAGTAGAGACGTGGGGGGTGTCTCGGCGGTCGTTTTCGGCGGTGGCTTCGTCAGCAGGGGGATGCGCACGTGGGGCTAGCTGTGTCGCGGGGGGCTTGTCGGGAGGACGACACTGTGTTTTCGGCTTATCTTTTAGGGTCACTGAAGGCGCTCATCGGGGTGGCGTTACAACGTGCGCAAGCCCATGTCATCCTGCTTCGAGCGGCGTCTTCCATGGGGGGGATTAACGTAGATTTGGTGGACCGGGAGAGGGACGATGTTGATGTGGAAGGCGGGGCTCTCTGGGTGGAGGCCCCGTACATGGTGGATACGCTGTTGTGATTGGGGGGGGTGAAATGGGGTGTGGGATGGGATGTCTTGATGGGGTGTCTCGATTGGGCGTTTTGATTGGGTATCTCGAGGGGGGTTTTTATGTGTGTTGCATTTGGGTTCTCTTTGGCAGTTTCACTTAAATATATATATATATTACCGTATTACCCCGGATTGAAGCGCACCTGCGCTTATAATAAAACATTGATTTATAGAGGGGTGCGCTTATAAATGAGTCACGGGCATAAGCGCATGCGCTTATATAATGACAAATGTAGAAATATATTTTAAGCGCACCAAAATGTGCATCTTAGTCTTGCAATTCCAGTCGAATCGAAATGTTAGCGCGTCATAGATCAGAATCGCGCGATTGTCTGCCAGCGCAAGGGTGGGCGAGGACACGTCATTCCGTAGGGGAATGTGTCACCGGCCCACTGTTGCGAGGCACAGAATCCGGTCGCTCGCAGCGCAGGAGCACGGTCGAGCCCCCCCCCCCCCACGTTCGTGCTGTCAGTCAGCTTCAGCTTCGCGCCCGTTTCGGTTTTTCGCGAGGCAGAACAGAACGTGCGATTTTGTCGGCCGCTTCTCGTGAGGGTTGTAGGGTAGACTCGCTGCAAAGCGGAAAATCGTTACGGAAATTAGAATACAATTATGCATGCGCTTATAATAAGTAAAGTTTTTACAGGGGGTGCGCTTCTAATTGAGGATCGGCCATAAGCGCATTGCTCCAGATATAAGCGCATGCGCTTTTAATAGGCCTGCGGTTATATCCGGGGCGATACGGTAGCCTCTACAATCCACGGTGGTATCTAGCGCCAATTAAAACGTTGGTTGGCACACCCGAAGTGTGATTTTCCTAAACTCTAGGTTATTGTACATTCCCCCAACCTAGGGCATCCTTTTCGCAAGCGCGTTACCGTTATCGATTTTTTTTTTTTTTCTATTTACGGTAACGAATTGCTCATGCATTCGCTGATTTTATTCTTTTCCCTCTATAGCTCAACTCAGTTGCACTCATAACAACTGTACAAAACAAGCTAGTAGTCTAATAGAAGCTAAATCTCCACTACTTTCTTACGAATTGATTCAACACTCAGACACCCTAAACACAATGAAAATTGCATAAACAGACTCCTTCTGAAACCACCCACCACCTTCAGTTCATTTCAACGTGATATCATGCTCATAATGTGCCACCATCCTTCAATTCAATGCCTTACACAGACCAATCACCAAATGAAAGTAGTTTTCCCATCCCACACACATCAACCGGGTATATACAAATCTACAGTTGCCCTATTCCCCTCCTCACCCCATCTGCTGTAGCCACCACCTGCTGTTGGGTCCCTTGGCAGTGCATAACCACCAACCCGAGCATTGACCACCTATACAGTCACCCTGGTTATTATACACAGAAAACATGCCCCTTAGTCAGGAAGGCAGAGAGAGATACTCAGGGAGGGAAAGAGAAGGAGCAGCAGCGGCAGGCAGCTACAGGAAGGGAAGGCACATCCCCATCGCACAGTCAATCTGGTTACCGCACGAAAGCATGACTGCGTCGCCATTGTTACGTGCCCCTTAGTCAGGGAGGGAGAGAGTGGGAGCAGCGGCAGCAGGGAGCTTGAGAAACGGAAGGCACAGACCCATCTCACACACGTCAGGGGCGAGGCAGGCGGATCACCACCGGCTCCCCATCCTCCCCGACATCCACCAGTGCTGTGTCGCCAGCTGTGAACGCGCCCTCCCTGACCCGCTGACGTCACCCAGGGGTGCGCTGGTGTCATCTTCTTTGGCGTCAGCTGCGATCGCAGGGAGCAGCAGCGAAGGAACGGATGGTAGAGATTTCCGACAGGTCACTGCTGCTGACGCGGCGGTGGCGGTGCCTGGTGTTGCTGCTTGCTTTCCCCCGCTGCCAGCACAGCCTCGCTGATTGGATCGTCGACCAATCGCGTGACGGCACATCGCAGTGGACGCGCCCCATACGCCCTGTCGTACCCCTCCTCACAAATCCGCTCCATGAGTACTTCAGAAATTTCCAGGTTGATTCCCTTCTGTGCAAGTCTATCAGCCGACTCCTTGACCATCATGTTAGCAATCACTCGGATCTGGAGGGAAGGGGGGACAAGTGGAGGGACAAGGAAGCAAATGTAAACAGGGTAGAGGGGTTTGCTGCACGAGTGCTCTGACACTTCCAGGTTGAATCACCTCTTGGTCTATCGGTCAGCCGTCTCTTTCACCATCGTGCTGGCAATCACTAGGATCTGGAGTGGAAGGTGGGGGAGATGGTTATGGTGAGGGTGAGGGTGGGAAGATGGGCGAGACGTGGGAGGTGGAGGAGGCTGGACAGGTGCGGATGGCTTATGGGGAAGGGTGGCATAGAGGGTGGTAAGAGCAGTAAGAATGTGAAACCATGATTCTCCAAGACTGAAGCGTTATGCACAACAAGGGTGTGCATGCGTGAATAACGCATTTGTTGTGAAGCACGCTTCAGCCATGGAGATACCTGGTTCACATTCCTTACTGCTCTTACCACCCTCTCTAGAGCTCGGAACACCACCACCTCGTCGATTCGGATCATCAGCTCTTGGCCAAAAGTGCGTCTTCGACTCTTCCACCACCACCTCCCTCATTTGCACACACTCCTCTGTTCTCTCTCTCCCTCACACTCACCTGTTCCCTCTCACACCATGCTCACCTGTTCCATTGCAAGGGCTCGAAATACCACCACCTTGTCGATCCGTTCATCAGCTCAGGCCAAAAATGCGTCTTCAACTCCCCCATCACCACCTTCCCTGTCTCATCTGCTCTCCCACATGCAAGCACACCTGTTCCCTCTCCCGCAATGCCCACCCCAATCCCTCTCTCACCTGTTCCCTCTCCCGAATTCTGAACACCACCACCTCGTCGATCCGGTTTCATTCAACCTTGCATTCCCCCTTTACACCCCACACACTTCTCCCTTGCTCAGCTGTTCTTTCGCCAATGCTCGGACCACCACCGCGTCAATCCGGTTCATCAGATCTGGCCGGAAACGCCCCTTTCAACTCCTCTCCCCACTCAACTGCATCACATGCCCTTTCCCTGTTCTCACCTGTTCTCTCTCCAATGCTCGGAGCACCAACACCTCATCAATACCGATTCATCAGCTCCGACCGGGAAGTGCGCCTTCAACTCCTCCATCACCACCTCCCTCATTGCCGCTTACCGCCCCGCATCCACCTTTTTGAGCCGTACACACACAGACACACTTTCTCTCACCTTCTTGCATGCTCACCTGTCCTTCTCAAGAGTTCGGAACACCACCACCTCATCAATCCGGTTTATCAGCTCTGGCCGGAAATGCCCCTTCAACTCCTCCACCACCATCTCCCTCATCGCTGCATACTGCCTTCTCAGACGTACACACGCACACACCTTTCCCCAACCCCCCCCCCCCCAAACGCTCACCTGCACTTTCCCCAATGCTCAGAACACCACCACCTCATCGATCCGGTTCATCAGCTCTGGACGGAAGTGCGCCTTCAACTCCTCCATCACCACCTCCCTGTCTCACCTCACCTGCTCACCCCCCCTTACCTGATTTCTTGCCTCACCTGTTCCCCTCTCCAATGCTCGGAACACCACCACCTCATCAATCCAATTCATGAGCGCTGGCCGGAAGTGCATCTTCAACTCCTCCACCACCACATCCCTCATCGCTGCATACCGCCCCACTTGTGCTGAGACATACACACGTGCACCTGCTCCCACCCTCTCTTACCCACCTGTTTCTCGCGGCCAGTCTCACCTGTTCCCCTCTCCAATGCTCGGAACACCACCACCCACGTCAATGCGATTCATCAGCTCAGGCCGGAAGTGCACCTTCAACTCCTCCATCACCACCTCCCTCATTGCCGCATACTGCCCTGCATCCACCTTCCGAGACGATCACGAACACGCAAACGCACACGCACACACACTTGCTCACCTGTTCCCTCTCCAGTGCTCGGGAACACCACCACCTCATCAATCCGATTCATGAGCTCCGGTCGAAAATGCGCCTTAACTCCTCCATCACCACCTCCTTCATCGCCGCCATACCGCCCCGCATCCGCCCGTCCCTCTCTGCCCCCATCTCTCCACCCTATTCCCATCAGCAGATGCATATTCTCCTGGAGTGAGGAAGCCGATTCGGTGGGTGCCCCCCCTTGCAATGGCCTGAGAGCCCACATTGGACGTCAGGACTATCAGGGCGTTTTTGAACGACACGTGGCGGCCCTGGATTGGTCAGAAAGGAAGAAAGGAGAGGAGGGTGAAGAGGTAAAGGGCGGGGTGGGTGGGTGGGTGGGTGATGAATAGAGACTTGGGAGCATCAGAGGAAACCAGAGGATCAGAGGGTGGGAGCATCAGACAAAACCGATGCAGTGGTATAGAGGCTTGGGTATCAGCAGTTTTGAGGGTATCAAAAGCACCAGCCGGACACAGTAGATAAAATACATCAACATTTCAAGCTACCCCCACCTCACAACAGACAAACAACACCCACCTGCGAGTCAGTAAGCCGCCCGTCTTCGAAAATCTGCAGCAGGAGATTAAAGACGTCCGGGTGTGCCTTCTCGATCTCGTCCAGGAGAATAAGACAAAACGGCCGCCTGCGGACGGCCTCCGTGAGCTTGCCGCCCTCGCCGTACCCCACGTAGCCGGGCGGCGCTCCAATCAGCTTGCTGACAGCGTGGCGCTCCATGTACTCACTCATGTCTAGACGAATCATGGAATCTTCCTGGAAGGCAGAGGATGAACGAGGGCAATGCAGGATGGAGGGGAATGAGGGGGGAAGCTGCGATCCACCCACCCGATGCATTCGATGGGAATGATGCATATATCCAATCAGCTTGCTGACAGCATGGCATCCAATCAGCTTGCTGACAGCATGGCATCCAATCAGCTTGACTCCAAGATTACCAGTGAATCAAACTCACCGATCCATAGTAGTGAGCTGCCAGTGCCTTGCACAACTCCGTTTTCCCCACCCCGGTAGGTCCCGAGAACAGCAGAGCCGCCACCGGCCTTCCCTCCCCCTTCAACCCCACCCTCGCTCGCTGCACCGCCCGTGCTATCACCCGCACAGCTGCCCCCTGCCCCACCACGCGCGTCTCTAGTGCCTCTTCCAGCCCTGCCAGGTGCTGCTGGTCCGAGAGGGAGAGCTGCTGCAGGGGGATACCGGTCCAGTGGGCGGCCACTGCTGCTATGTGCTCTGCTGTGATCTCCGTGGGGCTGGTGGAAGGGGTAGAGGACGAAAGAAGAGGATTGAGGGAAAAGGATGGGCGGCTGGAGAGGATTAATGTGCCAAATGAATTTTTGAGGTACAATTTCTGAGAAATTTCAAAATCAGCCAAAAAAAAGAAAAAGGTGGCTGGAGAGGATCAATGTGCCAGAGGACGGTGACAGACAATGGTGTTGACGTTGGTGCGAGTGTGTGTGAGACTAAGACGATCGAGGAGTGGCGAATCTCACCTGTCGTCCTTGTCACTGCCAGTGATGCCACTCCTGGACTGACCAGCAGCGGTAGCGGCGTCAGCAGCCGTGGTGCTGTTGATATGAGAGTTGAAGTGTGTGAGTCCGACAATGGGAGAGTGGCAGACCTCACCTGTCGTCCTTGTCACTGCCAGTGATGCCACTCTTGGAACGCCCCAGCGGCGGCGTCAGCAGCGGTGGTGGTGTCGATGGGAGTGTTGAGTGAGTGAGAGTGACACGAGGCTGTCAGTGTGGGTGTGCGTGCGTGTGTGAGAGTAAGACGATCGAGGAGTGGCGAATCTCACCTGTCGTCCTTGTCACTACCGGTAATTCCACTCTTGGAACGACCAGCAGCAGCGGCGGCGTCAGCAGCTGTAGTGGTGTTAATGCGGGTGTGGTTGTTTGTGAGAGTCAGACGACGCTAAATCTCACCTATCCTCCTTGTCGCTGCCAGTGATGCCACTCTTGGACCGACCAGCAGCAGCGGCGGCGTCAGCAGCCGTGGTGGTGTCAGCGTGGGTGTGATTGTTTGTGAGACTCAGATGGTGGTGTCATTATGAGTATGATTATGCGTGACGGTAAGAGGTAGGTTTCACTCACCTGTCGTCCTTGTCACTGCCAGTGATGCCACTCTTGGAGCGACCAGCAGCAGCAGCGGTGGTGGTGGTATTAATGGGAGTGTTAAGTGTGTGATTCATACGGTGATATTGGCGTGTGTGTGAGTGGTGAATCTCACCCGTCCTCCTTGTCACTGCCAGTGATGCCACTCTTGGAGCGACCAGCAGCAGCAGCGGCATCAGCAGCGGTGGTGGTGTCGGCATGAACGTGGTCTTGAGAGAGGAATGAGGTGAGCGAGGTGAAGGGATTCTGGCGAGCATATGCCTGTGGAAGAGAGAAAGAAACAAGGGGTTGGGGGAGAAGGGGGGGTGAGAAGCACCAGCGGCGTCAGCAGCGGTGGTGGTATTGGGGTGAGTGTGAGTCTAGAGAGAGGAAGGAGGTGAGCGAGGTGAAGGGATTCTGGTGCACATGTGCCTGCAAAGGGAGACACAATCAGAGAAAAGAAGAGAGAAGTCTGAGGGATTCCAGCAGGCACAGGCCTGGAGATGAGAGGAAACAGAACACGTGGAATACGGGAGCAAGTGAACGAAGGAGCAAAAGAGCAAGGGAAAAGGGGAGCAAGGAACAGATGAGGAGTAACAGATGAGGAGTGAGGGAACACAGCAGAGGGAGAGGAAAGAGGTGAATGAGGTGAGAGCTTTGCGGCAGGCCGCCTCCCCTGCCGCTGCTCTACTGCCACACTACAACCTCAGTATTTAACCCCTCGAGAACCTTGTCTCACCACACACAAAACTGTATCAAACCAATCCTCACCGCATTGGAACCACCTTCACCGCACTGCACCCATTCTCACCGCTTCATGTGCAGCCTGCGCCATCCTGATCTCCCGCCAGTACTCCTCTGCACCCCTCTCCAGCACCCCACTCACCCTCCTCCTCCTCCCCTTGCTACCCTCCACCTTGCTCCTACAGGCTTCTCGCTTTGAGGCACTTACCTCCAAGAACAACCCGATCTAAACGCATTGAACCCATTTCCACCGCACCGCAGTAGAACCACCCTCACCGCATTGCACCCATTCTCACCGCTTCGTGTGCAGCCTGCGCCATGCGAATCTCCCGCCAGTACTCCTCTGCACCCCTCTCCAGCACCCCACTCGCCCGCCGCCTCCTCCCCTTGCTGCCCTCCACCCTGCTCCTACTGGCTTTAAGGCACTTACCTT